GGGGGGGGGGGGGGGGGGGGGGGGGGGGGGGGGGGGGGGGGGGGGGGGGGGGTGAGACAGGCCAGTGGCTGAGGAAGGGGGTGGAGTTAAGATTGTCCCTCGCTGCGGGGAGAGAGGTCCCTCTCCTCCGCTCCACACTTCGACTTATATTCATGTGCCGATGGTGGCTTGGAAAACCGCCCCTAACTGTGTCACACGGGCAGAAGGCAAGGCGGCCGGTTCTATTTCTCCCTCTCTGGGAGCCTGCGTGGGCTCAGAGCAGCAGCCCACCGCATCCATCCACCCCTCCCTCCCTCGCGGCTCCGCACATACACCCCCCCGAGGCTCGGCTCTCTCTGCGGACAGAATGGTTTTATAGTAAGGGACGGAGTAAAGGGAGGAGGGCAGGCTTTAGCGTGGACGGTTAGTGACGTCATTCGCCTTGAAAAAGAATCATTCGCCTCCAATGTAATGTAATGTAAATTTAATTGTAGTAACCAGGTTTCAAGCTGTAGAGGGCACTCCATACCACATTTTTAAAATAAAATGTAGTTTTTCAACAGTTTGCACTAAACTGTCAAGATTTTGAGCAGGATCAGTCAGTAACACTACTATACAACCAGAAACAATGATTATCAGCTGAAAAAATGGTTTTAGGGTTTAGTTACTCTTTAAGAGTTCATCAATTTGACTGAGCTTTAGTGTGGCAGCTTTAACTAACTCCTTGATTGGTGAGCGTGGTTTAATATAAATAGAAGATATCTGATAAAGCATTTTGTTTGTTATTCAAAAAATAAATAAATATTAAAGAGACTTCAAGATTTTTTTTCCTGTTTTTAAGCTCAGAGTCAAACCGCTGTAAAAACTACAGCTCCCATGAAGCTTTGCTGCGGCTGCGCAGTGTGAGGCTGATAGAAGATGTGGTTGTCAGCTGCTAACTAAATATTTATTGTATAATATTAATTTAATATTTTCATGTCTCTGTCCGGTCTTCAGCGGACAGCAGGGTGTCTCGGACTGATGTCACAAAACTACAGAAACGTTTCCGGTCAGCGGAAACTTTGATGATGATGCTAACGTTAGCCTCTGTTAGCACCCGTTAGCCTGACCCCCCCCGCCCCCCGAGACTGACCCGCTCGGTGCAGCCGGACTTCAGGCTTCAGCACAGCATCCAGCAGCCTCCTCTGGCGGCAGATCTCCCGCTCTGACCGCTCCACTCTGTCTTCGTACTCCGCCACGGTTTCCTCCAACAGACCGACGATCTCCTCCGCAGCCGCCGTTAACCGCTCGGTGAGCAGCGCTCTCAGCTCCGGGATCTCAGCCGCTTCTCTCGCTTTCTCCAGCCGCAGCAGGAAGTCTTCAGCGGCGGCGCTGATCCGCTCATGGACCGACACCCGCAGCAGCTGCACGGCGCACATCTTCATCCGTGTCTGCGGACAAAGACAGAGAGACAGCGGTGGAGACGTAAACACACACACACACACACACACACACACACACACACACACACACACACGGGGTTCCGCGTCGACGACACTTCGCTTGGACCACAGCAAAGTGGACAGCGAACCCTGCTGGAGCGGAGGGCGAACTACCACAGAAGTACTAATACCACAGAGCAGGTGTTAGAGGTCATTAGGGTAGTACTAAGGGTCTTGAAGGTGGTTCTAGAGGCCATACAGCAGGTTCTCAGGGTCCTGAAGGAGGATCTGGTGGTCACTGGGGTGGTTCTAGGTGTCCTGAAGGAGGTCCTTGAGGTCATAAGACAGGTTCTAGGGGCCCTGAAGGTGGTTCTACAAGTCATAAAGCAGGTTCTATGAGTCCTGAAGGAAGGTCTAGTTGTCATTAGGGATGTTCTAAGGGTCCCGAAGGAGGTCCTAGAGGCCATAACACAAGTTCTAAGTGTCCTGAAGGAGGTTCTAGAGGTGATAAAGCAAGTTATGAGGGTCCTGAAGTTGGTTCTAGAGGTGATAAAGCAAGTTATGAGGGTCCTGAAGTTGGTTCTAGAGGTCATTAGAATGGTTATAATCCACTAAACATTAGACATCTGATGGACGTGCAGATCATATTGCTATATTGCGTCCGTCGGTCCAAGACAGTTCTGTACCCCTACACGATGTGCAAATTAGGTCCGAAGAAATTGAAATGAATGTAAAATAACCACATTATTGTTATCAACATGATTAATAAATATGAATATGGATTATTTGTGATTAAACCATATTTCTTAAGACATAAGGTTTAATTAATATTATTATTAATATAAATTTAACTAATTAATAAAAGTAATATTTGTTTACATTTTCCTGTTTTTCCTTTCAAAAATACTGATGTGTTCTTTTTAATACAACAAGCTGAATACAGTCAACGCCATTGTGATTGGCTGAGGCAGTATGTCATCAAAACGTACCCCATAAAAGCCACTCTGATTGGCCCAGGTGCCAACTGCCGGTAAGCAAAAAGAAGAAGAAGAAGACAGGTCGCTCACAAATGGCCGCTTGGCTCTGTCCACCATAGACGACCCCTACAAGAACCCACAGCCACCTGAAATATCATCCACTAAATTGCAGGTAAGTTCGGTCAGCCCACTGTCTAGTTAATGTCATGTTCATTTATAGTGTTTGCTGTTTTAGCTTTGTTGTTTTAGCTTAGCTTAGCTTAGCTTAGCTATGCAAGTCTGGTCACTCTTCCTCTGTTTTGCTAACCCTCCTCACGGCCGTGTGCATTTGTTTTCAACAAAGCTGTTAAAAAATCAATCCGTGAAGCGGTGAATTATCATACATGCATTGTGTTGCGTGTATTTGTGTAGTTTTATCTGTGAGGGTCTTAAGGACAGAGGGATGTCGTATGCTGTAAAGCCCTGTGAGGCAAATTGTGATTTGTGATATTGGGCTTTATAAATAAAATTGAATTGAATTGAATTGAATAAACAAGAGATTACGGGGAATGTTTTTGTCGCGGTGCCGCCAACTAGTATGGGCTCCGGTCTTACAAGGTTGGTTTTCAGCAAAGAGACGCTGCGTGGAAGTAGTTCCCTTATAAGGTACTTAAAACCTATTGTCGCTACAATTAGCATTGCATCAGCTAACGTTAGCTTTTGAACACGACCACTGTGCTTAAATGTTAACGAAAGCTTTAACGTGAACAACATTGCAAACACTGTTCAGTTGCCATCAGAGTGAGGCTAGTAGCTACCCTAGCTAAATTTGATAAGCTAACGAAAAGAACAAGCTAGTACATTTAAAATACAATGCCAACTGTCTACCATGGCTGATGGTATTGTATTAGTTGATGCATAGGCAATATATTTTTGTTTGCAGATTAGGCTTGTGCCGGTTTGATTTAAAGCCAAATATCTAACCAAACCGATATATCGAATTATATACCTAATTTTAGCACTGCGGGTCACATTTGAGCTATTTTTCCCAATAAAAGCCCATTAAAGGTGTAATGCGCGTCAAATCCACTAGGTGGCGGTAATGCTGTATTAACCGTCAATACACACAAGGTTACACAAGAAGAAGAAGAAGCAGAAGGACACCAAGACGTTAGGGCAAAGACGGTGGATAAACCAGTAATAATAGTAGTAATAGTACAGTATAGTATATACTGTATAGTACAGTAGTAATCCAGTATCTTTGGTTAGGGCAACAAACTGAATGACTGCTGACTCCCTCGCACTCTTCCCTGCCCCCAATGAAATTTGATCTCAGCAGCTTATCTTGCTGCTGAGATCAAATTTCATTGGGGGCAGGGAAGAGTGCAATGGGATGGGAAAAGCCCCCCCCCCCACTTTAATTTTATTGTTTATATTTTTATTATTATATTTGTGGTACAGACCAAAGATGTTTTTTTATTTACTGTATTTTACTACACAGATTACGCTGACTACTCTTTAGTAGTAACTTCTCAACTGAAGTCGTTCAGTTGTATTTTTACCTTGGTGGTAGCACTTTAATTTTTATTGTTTATATTTTTATTGTTCTTATATTTGTGGTACAGACGTTTGATTTTATTAACTGTATTTTACCACACGGATTACGCTGACTACTGTTTATAAGTAACTTCTCAACTGGCGAGGTTCTTAAGTGACATGTTTGCAATAAAGATGGAAGTAAACAAGTTGGGATTGGATTGTGATTTATTGTAAACCTGACTGTAGTCCTATGTGTCCAGAAGGTGGAGGACCTGTTTCCTGCACTGGTTAATTTTCCTGTAGCTTCGTAGCTGGTTAGAAGTGGAAATGCATTACACCTTTGTATGCGTTTCCAGTTACCATCTGCTGCTGAGACAATCAAATGAAGCTATAGGAAAATTAACTGGAACAGTATGCCATCTTCTGAAATGGGACTTGTTATGCACAGAACAGAAGCAATATAAAAAAAACGATGTCTAAAACGAGTTTAAATTTGACGTAGAAAAGACGTCCACAACCACCACATTTGGACTATAATTAGCCCCGATATGGAGGTCCTGTGGAAGTCAATAATGGACGTACATTAGACGTCGGAAAAAGATGTCACCTGGCGTAATGTTCTGTACCTTCAGGGGACAAAAATTAGACGTGCAAAAATGACGTTGAAAAGACGTCGTATGGACGTGTCTTTGCACACTGGGAAGGGTCCTGAAGGAGGTTCCAGAGGTCATTAGTGTGGTTCTAAGGGCCCTGAAGGTGGTTCTGGAAATCATAAAGCAGGTTCTAAGGGTCCTGAAGGAGGTTCTAGAGGTCATTAGGGTGGTACTAAGGGTCCTGAAGGTGGTCCTAGAGGTCATAAAGCAGGTTCTTAGGGTCCTGAAGGAGGTTCCAGAGGTCATTAGTGTGGTTCTAAGGGTCCTGAAGGAGGTTCCAGAGGTCATTAGTGTGGTTCTAAGGGTCCTGAAGGTGGTTCTAGAGGTCATAAAGCAGGTTCTAAGGGTCCTGAAGGTGGTTCTAGAGGTCATTAGGTTGGTACTAAGGGTCCTGAAGGTGGTTCTATAGGTCATAAAGCAGATTCTTAGGGTCCTGAAGGAGGTTCTATAGGTCATAAAGCAGGTTCTTAGGGTCCTGAAGGACGTTCTCGTGGTCATTAGGGTAGTTCTAAGGGTCCTGAAGGAGGTCCTAGAGGTCATAAAGCAGGTTCTTAGGGTCCTGATGGAGGTTCTAGAGGTCATAAAGCAGGTTCTTAGGGTCCTGAAGGTGGTTCTAGAGGTCATAAAGCAGGTTCTTAGGATCCTGAAGGTGGTTCTAGAGGTCATAAAGCAGGTTCTAAGGGCCCTGAAGGAGGTTCTAGAGGTCATAAAGCAGGTTCTTAGGGTCCCGAAGGAGGTTCTAGAGGTCGTTAGGGTGGTTCTGAGGGTCCTGAAGGTAGTTCTAGAGGTCATAAAGCAGGTTCTAAGGGTCCCGAAGAAGGTTCTAAAGGTCAACAAACAGGAAGTCTAAAATGATTTTATTATCAATACTTTGACATGAACAGGAAATTAGAGTTTGAAAACAGGAAGTGATGAATCTTCTTCTATTATTGTTGATTTTCATAAAACACAAAGATCAAAGTAACTTCCCGTTTGGACTAAATATTATTTGTTTCATCTTTCAGGGAACAAAAAGAACCATTTCTCAAATATAGGCCTACATTTATAAATATAGAAACACTCTTCTTCTCTTCTTCTTCTCACGGGTGTCACTGTGACAGACGAGGAAAATCAATGTTCAGACTCCACTATACAAATCAGCTGTTGACTTGACGTTCCCACAGCGTGCTTCATGACAGGTGGATGTCCCCATAGCATCTTGAAAGACCAGAATGCTGTGAGAACCTGGATCTTAGAACCACAGTAACAGTCAGTCTTCTGCAGTCAACTCTTTTTCCACCACATCAGTTTGGGTTCCTGAACCGGTTCTGTTCAGGATTTTGAAGCGTTGGTTCTACGTAGAGAACCAGCCTGTTTCCACCAGTTCTGGGTGGAACCACCATAATTAAAGATGGAGGGTGTTACAAATTGGGGGCCAACACTAGGAGCTAATTAGCGGATTAACTTTGGTTCTGTTATAACTGATTCTTGTTTTAAGAACTAACCGTTAACAAGAACACTGCACATTCTTCTTTTTAACGGTGATTTCTTACTAAATTTCTCCACCGTCTCTTTTCAGCCTGTAGAACATGACACGCCCACTGATGACATCACTTTTCGGCCTTCAGATAAAGATCAAAAGTTTTTTTGTTCCCGTTGAGAACCAAATTTTCAGGTTCTTAACCAGATTATGTTCAGTCCAAATGTTCTAAATGGTTCACATTGAGGTGTGAGACCTGGAGGAGAACCGGTTCCATGTTGATGGAAAAGGAGTGGTCAGACTGAGGAGGTGACATTCTAACAGGAACCTTCTAGTTCTGTTCCACGTCAATACAGTATCTGATTCTGATTCTTCTCGTGTCACTCAGATGGATCTGTCTTTGTCAGTAGAACCACTGGACAACGTTTGGTTCTCTGTCTACTAAACTAAAGAACATGCATGAGAACAGAGAACTTTGTAGAACCTGAAAGCATCGAGACCACTTCAGGTTCTGTGACATCACCAACTCCTCAGCAGTACTGGACATTTGTATAAACACACAGTGGAAATAGAATGTCTCCACCCCCGTTAGAACGTCAGGTTCTTGTGACGTAAAAAAATCAAACCAAGATAATTTGTTTCAAAACTTCCAAAATGGATCCATTCAAAATCATGTTAGATTGACTAAAGTGATTCTAATGAACCCAAATAAAGTCCAGCTGTTCTTGAAGAACTTTCCTGACACTGACTGAGTTGTGTCTCACAACAGAAGACACAAAGAGCTTCCTGAGCACTGGGGGACAAAACTGACAATACCAAGAACTGGAAGTCCCAACAAGAACTGGTCAAAAACTGCTGAGAGGCCAACAACACTGAAGGAGCTGCAGGAGGTTCTGGTTGTCTTTTACACCAACACCAGGTGTCCAGGTGAGACTGGGTCGTCTGTGGAGGGATTTCAGGACTGCAGTGTAGGAGGTGATAAGTGGTGTCATAGGCCACCTCCTCTGTTTAACGATGGGTTTATTAGGGTCAATTCCAGTTTGACGTAGATGGATTTTTTTCTCGCCTCTCATCGCTGGAAATTGCTGTCCTAGAAGGAGTGTCCCTTCTCCCTTAAAATGTAAATGGACAGTTGAGTCTGAACCTATTAATAAGGTTCATACTGTCTTCTTATTTAGAATATTTTAAGGATTTCTTATATTCAGACAGAACAGGATGTAAGGAGATGTGTTTTACCTGCTTGACAGTTTCGACTGAGACTCCAGTCTTCCTCAGAAGCCGACGTGCTGCTGACGTGTCATATATCAGCTGGTGGGCCTGACAGACCAATCAGAGGCACCATCAACCGGGACGAGGGGGCGTACACCCTCTCGCATACCTGGGATTCCCTACTCCAGAAAACGAACAACGACGCGCGAGGTGGGGTTGGCCTGACAGACTCTGATTGGTCTGTCAGGCCCACCAGCTGATATATGACACGTCAGCAGCACGTCAGATGACGCTTCTGAGGAAGACTGGAGTCTCAGTCGAAACTGTCAAGCA